GAAAGAAAAGCAAATCCACTTTCAGATATTGCCTTGAATTTGGCATTAGCAATATCCCCTCCCCCACCCAAAAAAAAGAAGGAGAGGGGGGGAGAGAGAGGGAGAGAGAGAAAAACAAAGAAAAGAATTTTTTTTTTTTTTTGCAAAACACAAGCCTGGGCCAAACTGGTAAAATTGCATAATCAAAATAACATTTTAATAATGCTTTAATAATTGAAAATATTTGACTGAGAGATCCATAGATGTTATGCATTACTTTATTCTTTATCCTAAATATTTATATAATTTTTACTTACTTTGCCCGCCTTAAGGATTTTCTTGAACTGAGTTGGTTAAAAATGCTATTCTCTTACGTTCTAAGTTTTAAATAATAGTTACATGGAAGTATAATTATCTCCTCAGCTGTTTTAGCTTTTCAGTGTTTTAAATTAGTTTTGTAAGAAGATACTATTTCCCACATTTGGATCTATATATTATAGAAATAATTTAATATAGTACATGAATGTTTATACCATTCAAACAAAATATCCTTAAGATTTATAATAAAATTGAAATAATCAGCATTGAAACTGAAAATTATAGAGGTAATATGAACTGTGAAAGAATATAATATCTTTTTAAAATCATCTTTCTTGTGATTTTGGAATTGATCACTTCTTGAATACTGTACGTGTAACTTAAAACGTCAAATCAAAAAAATGCAGGGCTTATTTTATCAATATTATTGCAGTTTACAGGACTGTACAATACCGCAAGGACTAAGTTTGTGTATTCTTTGTTTCATTCTGTGGAATGCAAAATTTATTTCATGGCATATTTCTGTCAAATTTCTTCTGTAAGATTTATTTGCACTCAAGGCAGCATTATATTGTTTGATGACCAATATATGCAAAAGTTGTATGAAATATAACAAACATTCTCCTAAAGTTGTGATACTTTAACTTCAAATTCTGAACAATCCTAAAATGACAGAAAACAGATAAAGAAAACTTTTTTAGTGTGTATTCAAGTGACTGTCCCCTTTTTCAAGCCTCAATGTGCTATTCACACATTTTATTTATTTTACTTTCAATATAAGAACTATTTATGATGATAAATCTTGGTTACGGCTGTTTCAAGAGCATTATAAAAAGCATGTTTCATTATTTTGAGATTAGACAGCTAGAGCGCAAAAGTGAATTCTGTATTATGAAGGATTATTTTGCTCTTAACTAGCTATATAATTATCTCCTAAGTACTTGTAACCAAGCAATTTTTTGAGATTCATGCTAGATGTACAAATGGATATAAGTGAAGTTTTTAAAAATCCAAAAATTAGGCCAAATGTAATCACTATGAAATCTGAGTCAGAAGGGCTAGAACAGCTTTGGCAAATCTTTTCGGTACCGAATGCTGAAATGGGAGGGTACGCGCATGCTAGAAACCAGAACAGTCGCCCAATGAGCATGCACATGCTGGGCAGCTGCTCTTCCGGTTTCCGGCACACCACTTGGTCTTTCAGTTTCTGGCGTGCATGAATGCATGAAGACCAGCTGGCAGGTGTGCAGGCACACGCTGGAAAATGGAAGAGCAGCTGCTCAGTGCGCATGAGCATGCCAGGAAGATGATCTTCCAGTTTTTGGTGTGCAGATATGCACCGACCAGCATGACAGAAACTGGAAGACCAAGTGGCACCCAGGAAATTGAAAGAGCAGCCACCTGGCACACACATGTGCACCGTGTGGCTGCTCTTCTAGTTTCTGGTGCTTATGCGCTCATTAAGACCAACTGGCTGGTGCCCCGGAACCTGGAAGAGCAAAGGGCAACAGCTAGCATGCCCAGAGAGATGGCTCTGCGTGTCACTTGTGGCATGC